TCGATACCTGGTATTCTGCATACAGAATATAAATGATACTATACAAAATGGACATTTTGGACAGTAATCAAATCATTTTGGCGGAATACATGCAGTATTGATTATAAGTATGTTGTTTTGTATCGATTTACGCGTCGAAGTATCCACATCATAGACATAATATGCACCGCGGTTATTTACATTATTTACAACGCAACTATTTTGGCTATTCTTATGACTGACGGATAAATTGTTGCCGTCATATAAATGTAGTGAATGTAGTCACAGTTATTTGACGTTGTTCTTACTAATTGATTATCAATTTTAATTGATGGTTGAACATTCAAATTATTTATCTCATATGTTTATCCAATCAAAACGTATTCAGTTTTAGCAATATTTAAATTAAGTCTGTTTGCTGATAACCAATCCGGACATAATTATAATTATAAATTATAATTATAAAACGAGCAAGGTCAGAGCGGCATTGGTGATAAGTAGGTGCTACAGGAAGATAATCATCAAGAATGTGGATTAAATGCGGGATTGACAAGTGTTTCTTAAGCCGGTTTTCCACTAGCGATATTTTTCGCGCGAAGCGACATTTTACTTTTACAGAGCTCTCAACTGCGACCATCTGGAACAAATTGCTCAAATACAAAGGAATAAAGTCGCTTCGCGCGAAAAATATCGCTGGTGGAAAACCGGCTTTAGCAACCCATTCGCATCATCGACACGCGCATATTCGTACTGACGCATGCTCTGGTGCAATACCGGCATTAACTGAATCCCCTTTCGGAAAAGATAAATGATGAATTAAGCGATATTCCTCTTGCGGTTTCTTGGGAAGTATCCCTAAAGGTGAAACACGAAAATTGGGGAAGGGTGGGCATACAAAAGGCCCGGCAAGTTGACCTGCTGCCAATTCTTTTGAGAGCTTAGCACTGACTATTTCAGGATTTTGTTGTGCAGAAATGAGACTATTCGCAAAAATGATTCACGCTTTTCTTCAAAATGAATAGAAAAACCAAATTTAAAACCATGATACAAAATAGATTTAATAAATGTTTAAGATTTTCAATTTGAACCGGTGTTTGAAGGACGGGGTTTGGCCGAGGGAGGGGCAGAACTAGACGTTTGTAAGGAACGAAAGGGCTGGGTGAACGACACGACACTGATAAGAATTATGTTTATAATTGCAACCAGAACATGCAGCAATCTCCACGGTGAAACTCACGACAAAACCCCTTGGGAACAAAGGGTCTGGCAACAGAGGAGGAGGAATTGTTGCGCACAGGCGGTTGAGCCGGTTTTGAAAAACGCGCATTATTAAAAGTTTGTGTTTGGCCGTAAGAAGGGCAGACTGGCGTTTTTATTACGCGCAATTTCGTCTCTTGCGTCAATTTAACATGGCCGAGCTGCCATAGGGGCCGGTCTACTCATTGGGAACTTTGGATCCGTGCACAAACTTTTAATAATGCGCGTTTTTCAAAACTTTCTCAACCGCCTGTGCGCAACAATCCATCCTCCTCTGTTGCCGCACCCTTTGTTCTCAAGGGCTTTTGTCGTGAGTTTCACCGTGGAGATTATTGATGTCCAATACCCGCGATCGGTGTCCGATGGAGAAATTCATCATACATGTGATACCGATCGATCCGATGAACAACTTGCTTACCGTCGGAAAAAGTTTGTCCGATGGACATATACAGGTAAACAAATACAGCATAACGTCATTTATGATATTCAGGCTATTACAACAGTCCAGCATGAAAACCTAGACCAATATATTTTAAAGCAATTTTTTTTAAAGCAAGTGTCCATTTTTGAAAGACAAACGAGTACGATCGGATCCACGAACAAATCAGTGCTTACGGTCGGATAAAATTTCATCGATAGAAAAATGAGGTCATTTGAAAAGTGAACGGTGAAAAATAAAGAGTCTGGGTAGAGAGATTTGCTATGCCTCAGTGGAAGCTAGTGGAAATCGATCGATCGGACCCATCGAACAAATGTGCTTACGGTCGGACAAAAATTTTACCGATTAGGAGAACGGTTATTGTTATTTAGTATAAGCAATAAAATATTTGTTAATTTGAGTTGTGCTTTTTTCAGAGGACAGCAAAAATGCGATATTTCCACAAAACCCGCTGAGGGAATGAGCGGAATTGTTAATTTTGAAGGAACTAAATTAATTGAAAGTGGAAACACCAAAGGAAAATATAGAGAAAAGTAGAAAACGTACTGAGAACAGAGTGAGCGAGCGAGAAATTGTAGAGAGACCTTTTAATTTTATAAATTTTGTATATTTTTGATTTTGTTTTAATAAATATTAAGATATTAAGAAGGAGCTTTTTTGTACCGACAAAGTTCCGTACATTTAGTGGTGCCGTGACCAGGATTTACGAATAAATTCGCGAAATAGTTGTATTTCGTGTATAACAACATGAGTGACGTCGAAGAAACGAAACCAAGCACAAGTGATTCAGTCAGACCTGTTACCAAATCTGACGGACAGGTGAAACCCTTAGAAAGTAAAATAACTAAAGCAATCGATAAACTTAAGTATTATCTTGAGGAAGCAGAAGAATTGATTGAGGATAACGACATAGACGAGTTGCGAATTGCTTCTAAAAGAACTGACCAGATTCGGAACGAGCTAAATGATTTTATATCACGTGTTCAAGAGCTAAAATTAGAGTCGGGAACCACAACGCAAAGAGCGATAAGACAATGGAAAAAGGATTTGAAAGTAAGTTTTGCACCTTTGTTAGAGAAGAAAGAGAAGATTAATGAGGAAACATTGAGAAAAAACGCTGTTTGGATTTAGAAACTGAAAAACTTAAAATGAAATTTTGAGACAGAAGAAAAATTTAGAGTTGAGTTACAAGAGAGAGAGAAAGCACTTTGGGAGGAGAGACTGAAGGCTGGGATCAAAATGACCGAGAAAAAGTTAGAAATGGAGACTCTCGCAAAGGTAGGACGATCCAAATTGCCAGAGCTAAAAATAACTCCATTTAGAGGGACCCCAGAAGATTGAATAAGGTTCGAGAATATGTTTAAGACACAAGTAGATAAGAAACAAATTTCTGCAGAAGAGAAATTTGGGTACTTGCTGGAATTGGTTGATCCCAAAATTAGAAATCGATTGGCAAACCTCAAACCAGGAGAGGCAGGTTATCAAACTGCATGGAACAGACTGAAGGACGAATTCGGACAGACTAAAACTGTCATTGCGGCTCATGTAGAACAAATAATTAACCTACCAGCTGTGAAAGGGTCAAGCTACAGCAAGGTGCATACATTTTATGAATCCCTAAGCAAGAGTTATGATGCATTACAAACCCTGGAGGAGGGAAGCATGTTAAAGGGATTTGTTCTACCCACATTGAATAAATTGCCCAACATCAAAGCTGACCTGGTGAGGACAGATGAGCAGTGGGAAGAATGGGGGATGGAGAATTTGATAAAGGCACTTCAAGGGTGGTTGAAGAGAAACCAGTCAGAAACTGGTAAAGAGACGGTAGAAAAGAAGCGAGAGCAGAATTTTTTTGGGCAAGATAATGCAGGAGGTCAACGCCCACGGGGGCCTTATTGTATATTTGGATGCAATGGCTCTCACTGGGGGAATGCCTGCCCAGTTTACGACACCCTTGAGAAACGAAGGCAGTTCTTTTCACAGAAACATCTTTGCTTCAACTGTGGGCGATCAGGACACAGAGAAAACAAATGCTGAGGGAGAGGTTTTACAAGTGCAAAGAAAGACATCACACCAGTCTGTGCAACAGGGAGTCTAAGAACGAGGAAATCTTAAACGGTTTCTCACCTGCGGAAGAAGAGAAATCCCTTCCTGCTATTATTCCAATTAAAATCCAGGGAGTAACTTTATGGGCATACTTTTACCTATGGACACACTGGCTCTGGGAGGAATTTTGTTTCGAAGGAAGCGACAGATAAGCTGAAATTAAAGCCAAAGCGACATGAGACACATAACATTTTAACCCTTAATGGAACGAAGAAGCAATCAATGCCAGTGTTCGATGTCAAAATCGAATCTGTTGATGGAAGTGCAAACGAATCGATTGAACTGACAGGAAGTAGAATGATGGATTTCACCACAGTTAAGCGGCCAACAATAGCAGATGTGAAAGAAAGGTACCCACACGTAAGAGAGAAATCCTATTACAGAACCCCAAATGAGGAATACCATATTCATGTGATACTGGGAGATGCCTTCTATTGCCAGATCAAGACTGAGGATGTCATCAAAGGTGATCCGAATGACCCAATCGTAGAGGGGACTACCTTCGGTTGGATTGTGCATGGCGGCAAGAAGTATGCAGACGGTAGGTGTATGTTCGTTCAAGAAAAGAGTGATTATGAGCGCTTGTACTCCTTAGACGTGCTAGGGATAGAAGACCGTGCTGAAGACGATCAACTTGATGTCTATCGAGAGTTCAAAGAAAACATCACAGTGCAAGCGATGGAAGATACGAGGTTTGCGTACCATGGATACCGGGAGCAGAACTTGTGAACACTAACGAGGAACCCAGTCGAAAACGATTAAAGAACATAGAGCGAAAGTTAACTCATGACAAAGAACTACGAGAAACTTATGAAGCGATTGTGAAAGACCAGCTAGAGAACAAGATTATCGAGCCTGTACCTGCCCAACCAACAGGACCCCGCGTGTTTTACCTCCCTTATAAACCGGTCACCTGTGGTTAGAGAGCAAGCAAGTAGGTCAAAGGTAAGAATGGTATTTGATGCAAGTGCCCGACCCGGTCCATCAGTGTGAACGAATGTATGCATACCGGACCATCATTACAACCATTATTGTGGAACGTCTTGATAAGAGCGCGAATGAGTCCACACATTATCCTTGCTGATATCCAGAAGGCCTTTCTTCAGATTGGTTTAAGCAATGAAGACCGAGATGCTTTTAGATTTCTTTTCAATGTCAATGGCCAAGAGAAGCATTTCCGATTTACCCGAGTTCCCTTTGGTGCAGAAGCAAATCCGTCATGCTAGGAGCCACAATCAACTACCACCTTGATCAGCAACCTCATGCCGTAAGAAACACCGTTCAAGCTCTGCGAGAGAACACCTACGTTGATAATCTCATGCAAACCGCTAACGACGTTGACGAGTTGAACGTATTCAAGGAAAAGGCGACACACATTTTTGAATCTGCAAAATTTCCCGTCCACAAATGGGAAACGGATGTGTCAGATTTAGACGAAGAGTCTAACCCGAGCAAGTTACTTGGACACATTTGGGAGAAGAGCGAGGACACACTGGAAATTAAGGCTGATATGAAGCTGCCAGAGGACGGTCCTGTAACGAAACGTACTATTTTAAGCAAACTTAGTGGGATATATGATCCACTAGGAATAATGTCGCAAACAATGGTAGAGGGCAAACGTATTTATCGCGAAGTCTGTGATGAGAGAGCCAGCTGGAATGCGGAAGTAGGTGACAACGTGAAACGAGATTTCTTGCGTTGGACTGGTCAATTGAGAAATGTGAGAGTGCCGAGAAGCATTGCCAAGGACATACGTAAGTTGAAGAAGGTCCATTTGCACGTGTTCGCCGATGCTAGTAACGTCGTGTGTTCCACGGTGACAATAGCAGTGATTGAACATTCGACCGGGGTGGTTAAAAGACTGCTGACATCAAAGAGTAGGATCTCGAAGCGTAACACCACAATAGCGAGGCTAGAGTTGATTAGTGGACATATGGCGGCAAATATGGTCAAGAATCTCTTATCTGCCTTAAAGCACTGGCCTATTGCATCTGTCACTATCTGGATGGACAGCATGGTGGCACTGTATTGGATTTGCAATCCGGGAAAAGCTTGGAAAGTCTTCGTGAGCAACAGGGTGAGAAAGATTGCGGAGATCACTCATGACACTGGCATAAAGTGGAAACATTGTCCCACAGAGAAGAATTTAGCAGATCTCGGCAGTCGAGGAGCAAGTTTAAACAAAATGGAAAAGGGGGATTGGTTCACGGGACCAGACTGGTTGGTCGACGAAACAGAGTGGCCAGAACAGCCGAAGCTTGAGTCAACTAAGAGAGTATATGAAGAGCACAAACCTACCGTGGAGGGAGCATTGTTTACGTTAAAGCGAGATCCAGTTGAGTGGGACTCATTACTTGAGAAACGTTCTTATTGGAGAACTTTAAGAGTGACAGCGTGGGCCCTAAGATTCAAGCAGAACGCCCTCGCTAAGAAAAGAATGACGAAGAAAACTAGTGGACCACTAACAATTGAAGAGATATCGAGCGCACGGAATTTGTGTGTCCGACGAGCACAAACGGACGTTCAACCAGACTTAGAGACCCCGGGGTGGAAGCTGGAAAAAGAAGAGACTACAGGCATCTTCAAATGCAAGGGGAGAATCCAGGGGTATGAACCGGTTTTCATTCCGAATGGGCAATTTGCGGAGAAATTAATTCGCCATAGTCATCAGCAAGTTAACCATATGGGCGTCGTGAATACAATGTCTACAATTAGAGAGAACTGGTGGATACCAAGATTAAGATCAAAAGTGAGGAAAATGATCAACCGCTGCAACCTGTGCAAAGTATTCAGTACAAAACCGTACGGGACTACAACCACCGCAGATTTACCTACCTTTCGTACTGAAGGCGGAAGACCATTCGAGACGACCGGGATAGATTTCGCAGGACCGTTGAGCTATAAAGTATCGAAGACCGAGGAAGGCAAATGCTACATCATCATTTTTACGTGTGCGGCGTCCAGGGCCGTTCATCTCGAAGTTACTAAATCTCAGACAGCTGAGGAGTTCAAGAGTAAGCTCAACGCCTTTATCACCCGACGTACGAGACCGAGACGCATTATATCCGACAACGCGTCCACCTTCCAGTCCACTGCTAGTTGGATAAGGAAAATACGAAAGAGTGAATCACTTCAAGACCATCTAGCGCAGCAAGAGATTAGATGGCAGTTCAACTTTCCAAATCGCCGTGGTGGGGAGGTATGTACGAGCGCCTCATCAAGGAGATCAAGAAAACGCTATACAAAACCATGGGAAGGTCACATCTGTATTACGATCAAATGGAAGCGTTAGTGATGGACATTGAGAGACACCTCAACAACCGTCCATTGACCTACGTGGAAATTCATAATGGTGAGGAGCAGGTGTTAACACCCAATGTAATTATGTGGGGACAGAATTCTCACGTCGTTGAAGACTGTGAAATCGAAGGTGATGAAGTGAGTAAACTCCACGCAAGGTTGATGATGAAACGGCAACACGTATGGCGCCGCTGGGAGAAAGAGTACATCCACGGACTTTTGGAAAACCATAGAATTCATAGAGGAGCCGAAAATGTTCCGGAAGTTGGAGAAATCGTATTGGTTATTGGCGACGGAAAGAATAGGGGAGAGTGGACTAAAGGAAAAGTTACGCATCACATTAAAGGCAAAGACGGTGTAGTGAGAGGGGTGACACTCCTTCACAAAGGTCATTACATTCAAAGACCCGTTACTCTTGTGTGTCCATTAGAAATCAAGTCCGTAGAGAAGGTTCAGACTGAGGAAGCAAGCAAAGATTCGCAGCAAATACGAGCGAAGAGTACTCGGAAAGCGGCAGTTGACGCACGTGAGAAAATACGGTTATAAGCAAATGAAAACGAGTGAAAAGCAAGTTTAAGACACTCAAGAACAAAACATTGAGATACACAGAACTAAAGAAACATTTGGCATTTTTGTGTCAATTGGTATTTTCAAGTTGTAAAATTATCGAATTCTAAGGGAATAATTTTAGGGGAGCGTGAGCGGAATTGAGTTAATTTCGAAGGAACTAAATTAATTGAAAGTGGAAACACCAAAGGAAAATATAGAGAAAACGTACTGAGAACAGAGTGAGCGAGAAATTGTAGAGAGACCTTTTAATTTTATAAATTTTGTATATTTTTGATTTTGTTTGAATAAATATTAAGAAATTGAGAAAGAGCTTTTTTGTACCGACGAAGTTCCGTACAGGAATAGGAAATGATATACGAAAGATCTTTACACCGGTGTAGACAGTTATGTTTGGTAATGATCTCTGAAAGTCGAAATTTAATCCTGCTTTTTGTTTCTTGTTCACATGGCTGAAATCGTGGCTTTATATTTCTCTTTGAATATAAGGTCGTTTGAGAAGTAATATAATAAACTCGAAAGCTGCTTATTACCATTAGATAATAAACCTCAAATGAAGTGTGCCAAAAAACTCGGCTGTGGCCTCGCTTATCAAGTCAACACACTTTTAGGTATCTAATGGTAATAAACGCTTTCTCGTTTATTATATATTTCTTATAAAGCGTGTTACGAGAACGTGGCTACAATGCATACGCATTTACAAAGCGTTCAAACGGGCCTCAGCTATGCCTAAGTGGGGTGACGTATTTGTCCATTGGCATGTATTATAATAATGCGGTTTCATGTTTTATTTTACAGCTAATCCAATTAAGGTCAGTGTAAGGAGACGGTGGGTTGTTGTTTATCTAAGCTCATAATCTTTGGAAATTTATGTTTTCAAAAATAACTAACATACATCCAAGCTTATTGGATTGCCTATCGAGCCAAAGTTTAATGCCATATTTGATATTACGTGAAAACCCATCGTCTCTTGCCGCTCATAGTTAAACGAACGAGGAAGTATAGTTGTATATAATACAAATATACAATTCGTCTTCTAAGCTTCATTGTCATTGCTATTGGCATATTTATAATTCATAATACTAATTAATAAGGAAAGCGTGAATCATTTTTTGCGAATAATCTCATTTCTGCATAACAAAATCCTGAAATAGTCAGTGCTAAGCTTTCCGAAGAATTGGCAGCAGGTCGACTTGCCGGGCCTTTTGTATGCCCACCCTTCCCCAATTTTCGTGTTTCACCTTTAGGGATAGTTCTCGAGAAACCACAAGAGGAATATCGCTTAATTCATCATTTATCTTTTCCGAAAGGGGATTCAGTTAATGCCGGTATTGCCCCAGAGCATGCGTCAGTACAGTATGCGCGTGTCGATGATGCGGTTGCTATGATTAAACTATTAGGTTCTGGCTGTTTTCTGGCCAAAAGCGATATTAAGAGTGCATTTCGCATGATCACAATCAAGCCATCTGATTACGATCTTTTAGGCATTTTTTGGCAGGGACAATATTATTACGATCGTGCTATGCCAATGGGCTGTGCGTCATCCTGTCGTACTTTTGAGATGTTTAGTACTGCTATCGAATGGGTTGCTAAGAAACACTTGTCAATCCCGCATTTAATCCACATTCTTGATGATTATCTTCTAGTAGCACCTACTTATCACCAATACCGCTCTGACCTTGCTCGTTTTATAATTATATGGGCCGTGGACACTATAATTTGGTTGTTTTCCTTGATATCAAGAAAGCGTTTGATACCGTAAATCACGCTATTCTTTAAAACAAACCCTTAAAATATACGGTTTCGGAAAATCGGCGGCTTACACTATTGCGTAATTATCTGACTGATCGAACTCAGAAATGCCACCTTCATGGTATGTTTTCTAAACAAGGAAAAATAACTTGTTGGCATTCCCCAGGGAAGTATTAAGTATACTTGGCCCTCTTCTATTCTATCTCTATATAAATGACTTGCCAAATTGCCTCAAACACACAACAGCCAGACTGTTTGCGAATGACACTAGTTTAGCAGCGGCAGGAGAATCATTGGATGAAGTGCAGAAAAGGGCAAATGAGGACCTAGAGAATGTCCGAATTTGGTTATCAGCAAACAAGCTTAATTTAAATATTGCTAAAACTGAATACGTTTTTATTGGATCAACATATAAGATAAATATGTTTATAAGTATTGTACGTATATTGTAAATAGATTAAGGGGGTAGGTGGGATTTCATTTTGTAAACTTAGTGCACACCTCTTTTGAAAACCAGCTTTATTGTTGAAAAGATTTTGTGTGTGTAAATAAAGTTTGAATGAATGAATGAATGTTTTCATATCTCTCTGCGATTACTTAGACGTACCAATGGAGCCAGAGAAAACAGTCGGTCCAAAAAATGTCCTTTCTTTTGCAGGCATTGAATTAAATACTTTGCGCACGGAAGCCCGTTTGCCATTGAACAAAACTGAAAAATGTAAACTTTTAGGCTATGTGCACACGAGCGTCATTTTCGAGCGTTTTCAAAATCGTTTTTGTCCATTTTATTGTTTTGACGCCCTGTCCACACGTTCCAAGGAAAAATATGCTTTATCTTATAAGTTAGCTTCAACTTCTATTGTAAATTGACGGTGTTTCAAACCGTTTTGGCATGAAAACGAAAATAAAAACGCTCGAAAACGTTACCGTGTGCACACAGTCTTAGTTTCCACGTTTCCTCGACGCAAAAAAGTTAATTTACGCGATATTCAATCATTGACCCGTTTACTTAATTTTGCATGCTCAGTCGTTGTCCCCGGGCGGGCTTTCCTGCGTCGTCTGATCGATTTAACGAAGGGAATAAAACCCGCGCATCATTTCATCCGTCTTACCAAATCGGTAAAAGCGGATAATTATATTTGGCGTTCTTTTTCAGATAATTTTAACGGCCGATCGTTTTTTCCTAGCGATGTATGGACTGATTCGTTCAGTTTAAACCTATACCCTGACGATGTTATTTGTGCGCCGACTGGTGCTGGCATGTCTGAAGTGTAATATTTTATTTCATGCTCGCCATGTTCCGGGGTTAAGAACGTTTTAGCTGATAGTTTATAGATAGATTACAGGTTTTGAAGTTCAAGCGGCTAGCTCCAGTAGGTGTACAACCCTCACCAGCGGTCATTCCAGCTCAACTATTGTTCAATGGGTTGGTGGAAATCTGACGCTTTTTGAAAGTATATTCGAGGTCTGGGTCTGTGCTCAACCGTTTTACCTGGATAGGTGCGATTATCATAGCTGTCAACCAGCAATTTTGTTTTGGCAACTTGGCTTTCGTGCGCATCTGATATGTCAAGTTGACGCAGGGGAAAGACTTGACTACAATAATTATTAAGAATATTATGCACGTTCTTTGAGTGTTCTGTGATGCTGACACAGGGGCAACCGGGCAAGGGTAGCGGAACACTTATGTCTGGTCGGTGACCACTATACCTGGCAGTTCAAAGCAGGGGCACGAATTCTTTGGGTATAGCCAAGACTATTTTCTTACACGAAGCTTAATACCAGTTTGCCATTACTATCATTTAATTTTGCAGGATTACCGCTTACCTGTTTTATCGGTATTCCTATTTTATTGGTAATCACTTTTATCTGTCGATACCCTGTCACGATTGGGTGGGGTATGTCTCATTTACCCAAGTAGACTTATGGCGTTTTTATTACCCCCACCTTTCCTGTGCTAACTGTTAATTAATCACTTTGGTTAATAA